TTCATAACAGTAGCAAAATTTCAGTTATGAAGTAGTAACAAAAGTAATTTTATAGCTGTGGGTCACCACAACATGAACTATATATCAAAGGGTCTCAGCATTAGGAAGGTTGGGAACCACTGCTCTAGAGTCTGTTTCTGGTGTGGAATGTTTGGATTGAGGGCTTATCGATTTAGGCACAATGCAGAAGTAAATCTGCATCCACATAAAACTCAAGTCTACTATGGTGTCGGGGTAACGGCAGCGAGGTAGGCTTGAGAGAAGACTCCAGCGAGGAAGGGGCCTTGCAAAGGCGCCTGGGAAGTTCCCACGCCTGCTGACCCGGGTGTAGGTGTGTAGAACGGGCCTCACTAGAACCTAGTGCTTCTTCCGGATGAGGAGAAGGCAGCCAAGCTTTAGCTACAGTGTGCACCAGCAGAACAGACTGTACTCTGGAAAGGCCAAGGTCAAGAGAATAACAGACATGGAGCCCCGAGATTCCAGTCATTATCCCCTCCCCCAGCTTCACACACACACACACACACACACACACACACACACACACACACACACACACAACTATTTTAATGGACCAGAAGTGGCGGCGCACGTCTTTAATCACAGCACTGGGGAGGCAGAGAAAGGAAGATCTCTGTGAGTTCCAGGCCAGAGAGGACTGAAACCTGCTTTCAAAAACGAGAAACAAAATGAGTCTGGGGAGACAACAGCTGAGTAAAGGCACCTGCCATCAAGTCCGATGACCGGGACTGGATTCCTGGAACCCGAACGATGTGACGCCCATGTGAGTGTTCATGGGCACACACACACACACACACACACACACACACACACACACACATGTAAATGTAAAAACAATTGAAGCTTAGCTAAGATTCATAATTGACTGTGTGTGTACATGCGTACACACAGCATGCGTGGGAGAATGTTTTTAGTGCATTACAAAATCAAATCCATTACCTGTGCCTTATATGGTTTATAACCTTCTTTTATCAGCTCCATAGATGTATTTCTTCTTGAGTCTATCCTATAAAAATAAACAATATTAATGTAACTTCAAGTCTCTATTGATTATCTTTCTTCTTCTAAATCTACACTTTTATTACAAAACAAATATTAAAACATAAAGTTTTTATATGTCTACAAATAGAAAATTTGTTTCTGTGTAAGTTGTTTCAAATAGGCAGTTATTCTTAAGCCTCTGAGGTCTCAGATATTCTCTTTTGTTCAGGCATAGAATCATTTCATGACTCTTAGCTGTGCAATGTCCTAGCTTTTTTGGAGGATAGTTTCCACATAAGTAGTAGAGAGATATTCCTGGGGTAGTGGACAATGTGAGTTACCCTAAGTGGCCTTGTTGCCTGTCTTATGTGAGGGGCTAAAAAAGGTGAACAGCAAGTACCAAGTTAGTTTAAACAAACCTGGAGCTCTCCTAAAAGGTAGAAAGCAGAACAGGCTAGCCTCTGCTAGCTGGTATGTCTCTTCTGTGCAGGAATGTTAGTGGTCTCTGGTCTCCAGTATCAAGGATCTCAAGGCAGGGCAGATGTGTCCAGGATTTGCCAGTGCGGGCCCAAGGTTGTCATGAACTCAACTGTGTCCCCTCCAGATTCATGTCCAAAAGCCAGAATCCTCAGGACCTAAGAATACAATTATGTTCAGAGGCAGAGACTGAAAAGGTGTCGTCAAGAGTAGACGACAGGACAAAGTCAGGGCCCTGAAGAAACAGGGTGAGTGTCCCTAGAAGAGGAAGAGACACTAGGGATGGGCCACATGTGAACATGGAAAGAAATCAGGCATCTGCCAGCCAAGGGCAACAGGCTTGGGGGAGCCCAAACTGCTGACTCTGACAGAGACTGGCGAGGACTCTGAAAGTAGTGATTCCAGGAATGGCTGCGGTTTTCTGGCCAGAAAAGTCAGAAGGGAGCTCTGGTTTCTTGTCTCCTAAACATCAACCCTGCCTGAAGGCGGAGGGAGTGTGGGATGAAACTCCATGTCAGGCGCTAATCCCTTCTGGTAAACAGCTTTGGAAATGGGTTTTCATGGTGGCCAGGAGTTGATATCTATTTCTCAGTTTCAGCCCATCTCCTAAATGATGTTAGTGTTATCTCTTCAAAGTGGGGAATGTTGCAGTAGCCTTGACCCAGGCCCTGTGAGCCACATTAAGGGAAAGCTGTTTCCTCCTGATCAAAAGAATGGAACTTTTTTTCCCCCAAAACTCTGACCTTGGGTGGAGATCTAACCTTCCAAGCAACCCACAATGTAAGTTAATTCAACTGCACCTGTCAATCATCTGGCCAGGGGATAATCCCTCCAGATGGCTGCCTGACTAAAGAGCTGGGAGGAATAATTACCCCTTAGCCAGATAATGTACTTTCTTCCCCACCTGCGATAGAGTCTTTGTGAACTGCCTGAGGCTCTGTGAAGTCTCCCTGCCTTTCTGAGTTCTTTTACTTTTCTTCTTTCTGTGTCTTTCTTTCAGACGTTGGCCAGAGCCTAAATGTTTTCTCTGGTACTTTGGGCTTTTTGATGCTTTTCCTTCTGCTATGTGGCCACCTGCTAACTGGCCGTGGGCTAACTCAAACAGGCTTGGATTTCTCTCTTCTTTACCTCTCTCCACCTGACAACAGCCAAAACTCCTCCTCCTCTTCCTCCTCCTCTTCCTCCTCCTCCTCCTCTTCTGGACATGGTCTCACTTTGTAGCCCTGGCTGGCCTTAAACTCACAGAGATCTACCTGCCTCTGACTACAGAGTGTTGGTGTATGCTACTACACCTGGCAAAATTATTTTATTAATGAGACTAAGAATCTAAAGAGGGGACCCAAATTTCTCCAGCATCAACATCTTACCCTCACACTTTTCTGGCTTCCTAAACTATTGGTTATACATTTCTGGTGTTTAAGTTACCACAACTGTGATATCGTGTTACAGCAGTTCTAGCAAATCATGCGGGCGCCATCAGGGCTATAGCTACTAGGGGTGTTGAGTGGATTCCCAGAAAGCAGTGAAGATGGTGTGTCCTTCCAGCCAGTAGCTCCAGGGGCAGCTTGCTGCTCCAGCCTCAGGGATCCAGAAAAGCGACAGCACCGTGGAGTCACACCAGGCACAGTAAGACCCTGTGTCAAAACCCAACAACAACAAAAAACAGAAACAAAAACAAACCCCCGCCCACAAGCAAACAAGGCATTCCATGCAGGTTGAGAGCCACGGTTCTGGTGATGCTGGTATGCAGATCCTGGCTTTTAGGATTGCACTACAAGATGTCATATGTGCGCTCCAGAAATCAGCTCTCCTGTCCCTGCGAGGTTGCTTCCATTTCTCAGTGTGTCACTGTGACTACATGGCCTCGTGCTTTTGGAAGGTTCCTAGACAAATATGGATGAGTTTTATTAGCTGCACACACACACACACACACACACACACACACACACACACACACACGACAGCATTTCACTAAGGTAGCCCTAGCTTTCCAGGAGAAGCTTTCCCTGTGTGGATCCACCTGCCTCTGCTTCCCCAGTACTGGGATTAAAGTCATGTGCCACCACACCTACATAGATAGATAGATAGATAGATAGATAGATAGATAGATAGATAGATAGATAGATTTTTTCCTTTCCCAAAAAAACTTGCCCCAGGCATTCATGATGGCCCATGCCTTTAATCCCAGCACTCAGGAGGCAGAGACAGGCAAATTTCTGAGTTCGAGGCTAGACTGATCTACAAAGCAAATTCCAGGACAGCCAGGGCTATTACACAGAGAAACCTTCTTGGGAAAAAAAGCAAAACAAAACATTGTCATGTCTCTAAAATGTTAAGGAAGCAATTTGATGTGAGAAGGTTTGAGCTGGAAAACAGCAGTCTTGCTCTATTCCTGCAACAGCTGAGATCTAGCTGTCCTTCCTATCGTGGAGAGTGAGAACTCCCCTGCTGTGCTGGACAGATGTCCAGATTCCATGGCCAAGAATGCGCTGTCTAAATGCTGTTCGGTCTTCAACGGTGGAACTCCACCCTTTACTTAGCTGTAAGTATGTGTGGAATGTTATGATAAGACGTAGCAATACTGGTGGTCAGACATGAAAACGGTGGGGAGACAAAGGTATACGTGTGAAATAAACTCAGTATTTTAATTTTTTTGTTTTTTTGTTTTTGTTTTTTTTTTGTTTTTTCGAGACAGGGTTTCTCTGTGTAGCTTTGCGCCTTTCCTGGAACTCACTTGGTAGCCCAGGCTGGCCTTGAACTCACAGAGATCCGCCTGGCTCTGCCTCCCGAGTGCTGGGATTAAAGGCGTGCGCCACCACCGCCCGGCAAAACTGCATTTCTTATATATGTTTGAAACACGGCATCATTTAGCCCACGCCGAACTCAAACTCACTGTGTAGCCAAGGATGACTTTGAACCCCTGATCCTTCTGCCTCCACTTCCTAAATTCTGAGATTACAAGCATGTGCCACCATGCTGGGACTCATGTGGCGCTGGGGATGGAATCCGGGACTTCGTCCTCGCTAAGCAAGCTGCCAACTGAGCTACACATGCCCAGCCCTGAATATCACATTTTCATGACCATTTCAGCAATCCCATCAGCACTCAGTAATCTTCACGATCAATACCATCTCTGCCAATTTTTTTTTGTTGTTGTTTATTTTGTTTTTTTGTAGCCCTGGCTGTCCTGGAGCTCACTCTGTAGATCAAGCTGGCCTCCAACTCAGAGATCCTCCTGCCTCTGCCTCCCGAGTGTTGGAATTGAAGGCATGCCCTGCCACCACTTCATTCAAATTCAAATGAAGGCATTTGAATGCTGGGAAACTGGAGGCCTGTTTGGGGTCTGTTTCCAGTACTGTGGAACTTGCCTGCCCCAGCTCCTGCTTTATGCAGGAGACTAAGCGCGCTCGGGTCTCAGCGGCCGCAATCCCGGGCCCCACCGCGAGGGTGCGCTACGACCTCAGGTCCCCCTCGAGTACCCAGCCCGGGGCGGTCCGCCCGGGCAGGAGCGGGGCGGGGCACCGAGCAAAGGTTGGCCTCTTAGCCCGGGACCTTCTCCGCAGCTCCGCAGCATCATGACGGTGGGCGCCCGGCTCCGAAGCAAAGCCGCGAGCACCTTCGCGCGCCGAGGGCCCCTGGGGCGATCGCGCGGCGCCGGCGACGAGGAGACCGATGCCATCGTGGAGCACCTGGAGGGTGAGGACGAGGACCCGGCGAGCCAGGACGGTGCGCGCGAGGAGAGCGGACGGCGCGCGGGGACCCCGGGCGCGCGCAGAGTGCACCTCGCGGCTCTGCCCGAGCGCTACGAGCCCCTGGAGGAGCCCGCGCCAGGCGACAAGCCCAAGAAGAGGTACCGGCGAAAACTGAAGAAGTACGGCAAGGTAGGTCCCCAGGGCCCGGCCGCCCTGATCCAGACAGAACTGGGAGTTGCGCTGGGTGGAGCTGTGCCGGAGTCGCCGCCAGGACAGTCACTTGGAGGGTGGTGCTGTGCGCGCAGGCTTAGGCGGGCAGGACCCTGCGCCCGGTTTTCGCTGGTGGGAAGGGAATGTTGGAGCCGTGGTGAGGTTAAGTGACTCAGGGATCGTGACCCAGTTGGGAAGTTGCAGCCCGGGTGCATCCCTACCCCCCGCCCCCCTGGCCACCCCGCCACCTGAGAACGTTAAGTGATTCTGTCGTAGACGCCGCCGAAGTTATCCGCGGGGCGTCCTGACTCAGCCAGTACACACCTAGCACCTGTGGAATCTCCCTTTCTCCGGCAGTGATCTCTGCACTTTGAACTTGAGGTGTTCTGCCTGCCTTTTGCTCGGGTAGGAAGGGGTGGGAGAGCGAGAGGAGGGATGAATGGGGAACGGAATGAGTTTCATGTCCAGGGTCAATGGTTCTGGTTCCCAGGTGCCCTTGCCTGAAAGCAGAATTGCTTTCTTGGCCTGGACGAGGCTGCGGGAGGGTGTTTGTGTGTGGAGGTGGGGGTAGGGGAAATCACAAAACTCATTGATTGTGTTCCGGCCAAAGTCCGCTGGCCTCTCCTGACTTTACTCAGTGGCCTGCAGTGGGTGACCTTTATCATACCCGAGGCATCCAGTCCCTTGTCAGGAGTTTTCTCAGTCTCCTGAAAGATATGGCAGTGCTCGGTCACAAGCAGGCAATGAAAGTGAATTAATGGCGCGGGTTCCTCAGTTGGACGCTGGCATCGGGAGAGGTTTTGGGGTACCAGGCATTGTGCATACACTAACAGCGGGTGGGGAGAGTCCAAGGCCCACCAGGGAGATGTGGCAGAGCTGGGGCACGGGCTCCCTCACTGCATAGCAGAGAACCTAGCGATGACTCATCTCAGTGAGGCTAGTAAAATCAGGGACGCTTTCAAATCGCCCTGACAAGGACGCCGGGCAGAAGAAAAGATAAGATTTCACCTCGGGAAGACAAGACAAGGAATCCCACACCTGTAACCCCAGGTACTCTGGAGGGCGGGACTGGATGATCGAAAGTTCAAGGCTAGCCTGGGCTATATGACAAGCTCCTATCAATAAAGCCTATCACCACAGCTAACACTGAGGTACCAGACCACACTAATTAGGATAGCTATTAAAAAAAAAAAAAAGACAAAATCCAAACATAAAGTAATAATGTTCGTGAGGATGTGGAGAAATTTTGAGCCTTGTACACTGGTGTTGGGATGTGTAAAATGGTGTAACTGCTGTGGAAAGCAACTTAGAAGAACCTCAGCAAGCTGAACACAGAACTACTCTATGGTCTCAGGGTTCCACTCCAGGAGCTATGATGAAAGAATCGAAGGCTGGGCTGGGGTGTATGTAGCTCAGGTGGTTGAGTGCTGGCCTAGCATGCACAAAGATCTGGTTGGATCCCTGGTGCTGTTTTAACTCGGCGTGGTGGTCCATATCCGTAATCCCAGCACTCGGGAAGTGCAGGCGAGGAGATCAGGATCTGGCTTTGTGGGTAAGGGTGCTCACTGCCACACCTTACAATCCGAGTTCAATCCCCAGAACCTTAGAAAACCGACTTCCACAGCTGCCACCTGACCACGTATACACTGTGGCACACGTGCACATGTGTGGATACACGCTGCATCTACTAAATACATGTAACTAAAAAAATTGTGTTAAAATAGTCCAGAGTAATTGCTGCTTACCCTAGAGAGTTCCTGGGCTACATGACATTCTAGCTTTTTTTTTTTTAAAAAGGATTGAAAAGAGCTACTCAAGCAAATATTTTTTTAACTTTAATTTTTCATGTGTATGGGTGTTTTTGCCTTCATAAATGTTTGTGAAGCAAATAATTTTACACAGTTGTTCACATTTACCAAGTCTCTCTCATTTACCAACGGACAAAAAGTGAAAAAAAGATCTGGGCGGTGGTGGCGCACGCCTTTAATCCCAGCACTCGGGAGGCAGAGCCAGGTGGATCTCTGTGAGTTCAAGGCCAGCCTGGTCTACAGAGCGAGATCCAGGAAAGGTGCAAAGCTACACAGAGAAACCCTGTCTCAAAAAACCAAAAAAAAAAAAAAAATCCAAATATATATATATATATATATATATATATATATATATATATATGAGTAGAAGAACAACATGTGGGCTAGACACACTATGGATTATTATTTAATAACCATAAGAAGAACTAATATCAGCTGCCATGTGGCGCAACATGATGTTAAGTGGAAAAAGCCATGATTCCCTTTCTAGGAAACGTCCAGATAGGTAAGTCCAGACACAATGGTGATGCCGAGTTTAGGGACTGGACAGAGGCATAGAGACACCCACTTTATGTGTGGTTCCCTTCTGGGATGAGAACGTTTTGGAAGTGGACAGAACTGGCATTTACACATTCCATGCCACTCACTTTCTCACTTTATAAAATCTCTTATTTTATATGGATGGGAGGGTTTTTTGCCTACATGTATGTCTGTGCCACTTGCCTCATGACCACAGAGGCCAGAAGAGGACATTGATTCCCCTGGAACTGGAGTCACAGACGGTTGTGAGCTGCCACGTGGGAGCTGGAAACTGAACCCAGGTCCTCTAGAAGAGCAGCCAGAGCTCTTAACTGCTGAGCCAGCTCTCCAGCTGTGTGTGTGTGTGTGTGTGTGTGTGTGAGAGAGAGAGAGAGAGAGAGAGAGAGAGAGAGAGAGAGAGAGAGAGAGAGAGAGATTGATTTTGACATGAAAAGGGGGTTTTTGACCAAAATGGGGAGAAGAGAGATGTGGGAAAGCTCTGGAATGTTACATACTAGCTCAGTAGTCCCAAGAAGTCGAGATGAGATTTCAGCCCCACGTGGGGGGTCACAAGAGTCATCCTGGCTTCCCCCTCCTCAGACCAGCTGAGAGTGTACCAGGCTCCTACAAGAAGGAAAAAGACCCCCCTTTCCTGCAAAGCCCTAAGAACAGCCACCATCCTGCAGAAGATGGGGGTGGGGTGGATCTGTACCCGCCTCAGTTGCCAGGCGAGGCTTTCTGTTAGAAATGAATAGCGCCAATCATTGGTTATTACAGACTGTGTTTTCTTTGAGTTCCCATTCCTGTTAACTTCTCAGATCCTTCACCCAAGCCCCTTCCTGCTTCTATTTAAGGAAAGTTGTTGGCTTTTGTGCAACATGAAAGAGCATGCTCACTCCCCCGCTGCCCCACCCACCCCCACCAGCGTCGTGGTCCTACCCAGGAGCCAACCCTCACTCTGTACTGGTCCAGCCTTCTGGAAGCCTTTGTGCCTGGGCCTCTTGTAGAGATCAATGTTCCCAGCTGATTTAAAGGAAATAATTGCATTCCTCTGGTGCACAAATTACTGTTAAAATGCTATCTGCTGGGCGCTGGGGAAAGGAAGGAACCTGAGTCAGCGGGGTTCCGCCAGGAGGCTGGATACCTGCTACCTTCTTTCTCTATGTTCCATGCCTCGGTTCCCTCAGCAGCCCTGGGAAGCTGGCGTGGAAGAGAATGAAGCTGCAGAGCCAGACAGCTGAGGAGCTGGGAGGGAGCCTGGCCTGGCCCCTTCCTCTGCGGATCTGTGGGCGAGAAGGATGGAACATGCCTGGCTCAGACTTAGCTGAAAATAATAGGCTGCCCTTGCAGCCCCCTTAAGAGGCCTGGAGAGGAGTGCAGTAAGAAAGAGAATTCAGTTGTGTTAATCAGGAAGCTGGGAGAGGGTTGGAGGGTAACACAGAAAGTGTGGGGTAAGGCAGGTATGGTGTCGCAGGCTTGTAAGCCCAGCATTCTGGAAACTGAGGTAGGAGGATCAGGAGTTCAGGGCCAACCTGGGCTACATAGTGAGTGGGACCCATCTCAAAAAAAAAAAAAAAAAAAGTGAGACTTGGTGATAGAGCTCACTGGTAGACCACTTGATTAGTGTGTACCAAGACCTATCTTTGACCACACTACAAAAAGAAGGGAAAAGTAGAAGACATGTTCTCATGTTTAAAGTAGGTCAAGAGCCAGTCTACCAGATGTGAGAGCTGTATGGCTATCCATACAGCCAAGCTGTATGACCTTGGGCTTGGCTTCCCGTCACTGCCTGTTTCTTCCTCTGTACCATTTGATAATATGAGGGCTGGGCTGGGGGAGAGTGCATGCCGAGTAAGCATGAGAACCGAGTGAAAAGCTTGGCACGGGGGCACAGTACTTATAAACCCAGCTCTGGGAAGGTGAAGACAGGAGACGAGCCAGTGTAGATGAACCTGTGAACTCAGGTTCTGTGGGAGAGCTTGTCTCTAAATAAATAAACAAGGTGGAGAGCAATTTAGGAAGACACTGAGTATGGATCTCACACACATACACACACACACACACACACACACACACACACACACACACACCCCACCCCACCCTACCAACACACATACCAGGGCATATCGAGAGTCAATAAACGAATCCATGTGGAAGTTCTAGATGCCAGGGTGCCTGACTGGAGCTGTATGCTGTTACCCTCTCAGGAGTGGGTTCTCTTTATTCAGATTCTGTAGCTGACCACGCACCTCAAGTTGGCGCCAGGCCCGAGGGCAGCTCAACAGAGGACTTGACCTTTGGGATCAGACAGTGACGTCTGTGGAGAAATGATTTCCTCTTCTAAATCAGAGGGACATGGGGTCCCTAGCCCCCACTGGGGGTTGGCTGCGATGTTCTCTACAGCTCTGGAACTCAGAGCTAAAATCATCAGGGCTGCTCCTTCCTGGCTCTTTGCAGCTTCCTCCCATTCAAAGCCAATAATACACTCTACCCCATATCTTCCTTCTCGCCCCTCTCCCCTCCATCTTCTGCCTGACCCCCGTGACCCTCTGCATTTACTCAAATGGAGGAGAGCCACTCTTTGCCTGGTGTGCTGGAGGTGGGCCCCAGGGAACCTCCCATCTGGAGACGTCTTAGCCAAGTCCCTCTTGCCATTTCAGGTAATAGAGTCACGAGTTCTGAGAAGTAAGGTGTGAATCTGAGGGCTAGCCTGGCACCCTCCTCTCCCACGCTTTCCCATCTTCAGCCTCCCTGTGAGAGATTTGTTTCACTCCAAGTCCTTTCCTTCCAACAGCACTGGTGTGGAAGTCAGTAGCTTCTTTGGTGTCTTTGCTTTGTGCTTCTCGAAGCTGTTTTGAAGGTGTTCCAGTTAATGAGCTAGCTCAGAAGACTTTTCCCCAAAATTGTAAAGGTGAAGTGATAAGTAGTTGGTTTGTTTGTTTGTTTGGGTTTTTTTTGTTTGTTTGTTTTTTGGTAACCAGCTATGGGAAAGAGAATGTACAAATACCACCAGCGTCAGGTTTCAGGTGAGCAGTTTGATTCTGGTGTCATTGTTCATAAAGGACCAGTGTTGCTGGTTGCAATTGCTCCAGGGGTACATGGTATTTGTTGTTTCAAACATGTAAAATTCTCCCACGGACTCTTTTCAACACATTTATAGAATTCTCTCTCTCTCTCTTCCCCTCTCTCATACACACACACACACACACACACACACACACACACACACACACACACACACGTGTCTCCTTGAGAAATGGATAAGGCGGTGTCTTGAGACATAAATCTACCAGTTTCTCCCAAAGCTTGTCATGACCTAATAAGGGATTGAGAGAAAGACCTCAGCTTTCTCTACAGGCTGGGAGTATCTGAATGGGTACATTCTGTAGTGTAGGGACTCATACATCCACACCATGGACAACTCAAGGCAGTACTCATAGGTAACTCCATATGCTCTTTAGAAAATTTCCTAGCAAGGCATTGTGGCTCATACCTATAATCCCAGTACTGAGAGAGCTGAGACAGGAGGATCAACATGAGTTGAAGCCCAGCCTGGGTTACATGGTATGTTCCATGCCCGCTCAGCTACTGAGTGAGATCCTTTCTCAAAATGAGAGAGAGAGAGAGAGAGAGAGAGAGAGAGAGAGAGAGAGAGAGAGAGAGAGAGAGAACTTTGCTGAGAAATAATACCTCAGACTGATATATTGCACCACAGAGCTAAGTTACTCTGTAACAGAAAGAAGCTGACACTGTGGGCACCAACTCTTCCTGCAGCACATGCTGGGTACTGCTCCCTGTGCTCCCCTTGAATAAACTCCTCAGTCTTCTTTAACACACACACACACACACACACACACACACACACACACACACACACACACGCACACGCACAGAAGGCCACTACATATTCCCATTATACAGACAAGGAAACTGAGGCCAAGCAATGTTAAGGGAAGGATGGGATTGGAACTCCTGGCCATGAGCACAAGGACAATTACAGACCGCCTTCATTAGAGAGAGGTATAACATGGGGTGAAGGCTTTTGGCTCTGCAGTGAGATTTCTTTGGGGAGGATTCAGCTCTGCCCCTTCCCAGCTGTGTGGTATCAAAGGCATGTGACTTCCCTGTGATTTCTTCTGGCTGATCCCTTAAGTGAAGTCCATCGAGGACATACCAGTCACCTGTTAAGCCAACTTGTTTTGTGCAACGAGAGACAGTGCCAGAAGAATTATGGGATATCAGGAGGTGGATGCCCCAAGCAGAGAGTTGAATGCATGAATGTGAGCTGGAGTTACCAGCATTTAAGACACATTCAAAGTCCAGGGATTCTAGGCAGAGCACGGAGGAGGATCCAGCACTGAGGAGCCTCAGTGGTTCAAACTCTGAAAGAAGATACAATCACCGGGGAGTGTTTAGAAGGAATGCCCTGTGGAGTAGGAGAGAGCCAGGAGGAGATGGGGTCAGGTGATCACAAAGCTCAGGGAGGGAAAAACAGAACCCTCCATGGACCACACAGCATGGAGGTTTTGGGCATCCTGGACCAGGCAGTCCCTGGACGGTTGCGGGCAGCAGCTAGTATGACAGGGAAGAAATGTGGAATGGAGTCCGTGTCTGGAGGCTTTTTCCCTTGGAGAGCAGAGACGCGGGGCGGGAGATGCCGAAGTGACTTTACATGGTATAAGCTAAGGAATGGGCTGACAGGAAGATAAGGGTGCTACTGGAGGAGAGAAACCAAGGAATGGTGGGGAAGACGTGAGAAAAAGGGCCAGTTCCCGTGGTTACACTGGCAGGTGGGAGAAGCCAGGAGCCAGAGCACCCGGCTTAGGGCCGATAGGGGAAGATGAACGGGTTCCCTAAACAACGAGGACACGAGCTCTGCTAGTGTGTAGAGATGGCTGGGGTCGGGAGAGGAAAAGGTTGGGCCGTATCTGAAAGAGAGGTCAACCCACCTGGGCAGGTGGGGTGGCTTCACCGGGCAGCCCTGGCTGTCTCCGTGAGCCTGGTGATTGGGATCGGGGATCTTCACTGGAACCGGGCTGCGTTTTTTGTAGTTCGAAAAAATCACAGGGCTGAGAGCCAAGAGGTGCGAGAGAAGGTTCGGGTCGGTTATGTGGATGTCAAGAATGACAAAAGAATGTGGAGGTGGGAAGAGGAAGACCGGGGCACAATGCAGTAGATGCTAGCCATTCGTGGTCTCAAAGTTTTGATGTAACTCCATCCGAGTCCCTGGCATTTGATGTCCCCTGTCCCAGCACCCACCCTCACCGAGGAGGAGGAGGAGGAGGAGGAGGAGGAGGAGGAAGGCAGCATCCGAAAAGCATTGCCTGGTCCTTACCCTCAACAAATATAAGACTGTTCTGGAAACATAAAAGGCTTGTGCACATGCAGCCCTTGGAGAGTGGTGAAGACTTCCGGGTTACAAACACGCGGGTCAGACCAGAGTAGGCACTAGGTGCATAGGAAGGACCAGCTGAGCTGTCTAACAAACTGCCTGAAGGAAAGCTTGACCCCGCCTATGACGGCGCTGACACTTTCAACTGGGGAAGTGGGGTGAGTCTCAGTTTAAAACAACAAAGGCGTTTTAGTTCTAGAGCTGGCCGCCTCCATGCTGTTTCTAAGAAGGCTGGCGAGTTATCTGGACATGTGCTGCGCTTGCGCGCACTTTGCAAGGAGAATGTCTGTTGTGAGCAGGGATGGGGACCCAGGACACTACAGATGTGAAGACACGGGGCCTCCATGGATTGATCGCCCTGGATATATGAAAGCGAACGATTCTCCTCTGTGCATGTCTCGGTGACTCGTGGAAGAATCAACAGGTTGCCTCACCTAACCTTTGCTTCTCTCTTCCTTAAAAACAGAATTTCGGGAAGGCCATCAGCAAAGGATGCCGGTACATCGTCATCGGCCTGCAGGGATTTGCTGCGGCCTACTCCGCCCCATTTGGAGTGGCCACCAGCGTGGTTTCCTTCGTGCGCTAACTGGAGCTGCAGGGGCAGGCATCACCAGAATGCTTCTGCCCCAAGGGACAGTGTGAATCCACCAGCACTTCAGACTTGGACTCACGGGAACTCGGAAGAGGAACCCTGCTTCGTGCTCCATTGTTGGACTGGTTGAGTGTTAGGCAGGCATCCGCTGAGCCACTCGATTCTCTTAGACGTGCGTGGATTCAGGGATCAGCCCTGCGGAGAATTAGGCCAAGGTCAAGTTGGGGTTAGGGGTTAGGCTAGCCTTCCTGGGGCACAGGCAGGCAGACCCATGGCAGGTCTGGGGTCTGAGCCATGCGGGCAGTGGGTGAGTGTTGAGGGAGGAGAATGCAGAGCTCTAAAGGGATAGTTGCTAGGTTCTGGAAAGGTCGAGGGGGCTGATGGGCACTGGCCTTGGCCTACGTTGATCCTCTCCTTGAGGACAGGGAGGGAGCTGTTTGTTTCTGACGTCTCTCTCTCAACCTCCTCGCTTTGGTTTACCGAGCTGTCATCGGGAGTTTAATTACAGGTTTGGGAAGAAAGAAGGAAGGAAACCGTCTTTGAAGACCACGATGCTTTGAAACCCGTGTTCACAGCTGTGTGGGGACTGTTGAAAGCAGATCAGAGTGTGTCATTTTCCTAAGTATTTCATAACTATGCAGCCGGCAATGAGGGAGTGAGGGCAAGTTCAGATGAAAGCCTGGAGGCTGCTGCAGGTGCTTAGAGTCTGAACCTGGTCCAGTGACTGTGTCTGCAGCAGGCAGGACTCCTGCAGATGTGGTGGTTATCCATACTGGTCCACTGCTGACTGGTGCCTAACTCCCCCATTTGATTGAGGAGAGAGAGAAAAAGGGACAGAGAGAGAGAGGGGGGGGGAGAGAGAGAGAGAGAGAGACAGAGAGAGAGAGAGAGAGAGAGAGAGAGAGAGAGAGAGAAAGGGGGAGAGAGAGAGTGAGTTGACAGGTGTATTTGTATATTTAGAGGAGCAACCAGCAAGTAAGAGGGGCAGGAAAAAGAAAAGGAACCAAGATGGGGACCCAGGGATGCATGCTTGTGATGGGATCTCTCCGTGCATGTAAGGCCAGAGGAAGCTGGGGGACCAGAGCCACCATGGTAGCTGAGTTAACACTTCTTAGGCCAGCGTCTCACTTGGATTCAAAGATTAGGCACGAGACCCAGGCTTGACGCTCACCAAGGATGGTTCGTAGACTGCCATTGAGTGCTCAGAGAATGAGGGAAGAAGCCCTTTAGAGGCCAGGATGTTTGGGAAACCGTACTGGTGTGTTTCACAACTGTTTTCAGAGTCATCCATGGAGGTTCCTCCCACCATGACCCTTGGCCCACCCCACAGCAGGCCAGAATCCCAACTTTGCTTCTAGAGTATTCAAGATCCAGAGCGGTTCTTGGGACCACTCTCCAGGATCAGTATCAGCTTGTTGGCCTGGAAGGCTTCCTGGGGCACACAAAGAAAGCCAAGATGCTCATACCCCACCCATTGGGCCAGGCCATCAGACACTGATGGTAGGGGATGGACAGACCGACAGATGGACAGACAGATGGACAGAAGAGGGGCAGGTAGAGGAGACAGCAGCAGTTGCCCACTTAGACCCAGCCTCCCCTCTGGAAGCTCCTTTTGAAGCTCCCCAGTCCCTGGAGCTGGGAAATAAGTGGCCTTCCTTTATCTCTAGTAGTGCAAGCTGGTTATATGCAGGTTCACAAATGTGATGGAATGATGCCTCTTTGCCACCTCCTGCTGCCACCGAGCCCCAGGGAGCCCATGACATCCTGCTAGGTAGGGAGACCTGTGACCCAGGAAGGGATGAACAGTCAAGAGCACTTCCTTCCCCAGGAGTCTCTTCCTCTCCACCTCCCAAAATCAGCAAAGCCAAGCACATCTGGCCCCGTGCCTCCAAATCCAGCTAAGAATTAACTCAGAAATGTCCAAAGTCAAAAGCTTGCAGGGGCTGTCCTGGGACTCGGCCAGGCTCGCTGGAAGGTGACTTCAGCCCTGAGCAGACTGTGTGGTCACATCCCCTGTGTGGGACTCCTGGTTCATGTAGCAGACCGCTCTGCTGCTTTTCTCTGTATTCTCCTGTGTTCAGCAGCAGGGCCCACACCCTGCTGCAACTGAATTGAAGAGCTTGGCTTTCCCATTTCTGGCTTCCAACCTTTTTTCCCCCTGTATCCCTCTCTTGCCTTATGTAAATAAAAGTCCCAGCTTGTCTTGGTTTTCCTACGTGTCACAGGCTCTCTCTCTCCTGAGGAAGGTGGTTGGAGCCCAGTAGGACCTGGGAATGTGGGAGGGTGGGTGATGGTGCCTGGGCCCCCACACATCGGCGGTGATAAAGGCTTCATTTTCTGGAATCCCCCAGGACAGGCTCTAGGGTGGGGAAGCCACAGCCCCACCAAAATGAAAAATTTCCAGAACCTTTGATTTGAAGTGTGGAACCAGGAGGCTGCATTCTCCACAAGCAAGATGCTTCTGATCTCTGCCTTGGCTGGGAAATGCCTCTGCTAATGGGGCTCCAGGGAGGGAGGCTGGGCCAGCAGAGCAGGCCCTGAGTGTCAGTCCATACTGGCATGTTGGCATGAATGCCTGCTCACTGAATGCTCACAGAAGCAAAGGTAGAGGTTAAGCAAATAATGGGCCGGTAGGCAAGGTCCTGGGCAGCCATCAGATTACCGGGTGAGGCAGGTTCATGGTAATAAGTCCCTACCTGTTGGAAATGACATAGACCTATAGCAGAGTTCTTGCTTACCATGGGAACCCTAGGTTCCATCTCCAGCGGGCAGGCGGGGGTAGGGGGTTGGGTTGGGGTAGATCATGACTCTCAACTCATGCAGGAGAGTGGAAATGCTACCTACCATTGGAGTTGGACTCGGCAGCGCACATTATCTCAGCACTGAAGAGGTGAGGCGATGGCGTGGGTCTTCTACCACCTTGGAATGCCATCCCACCCCCGCCCCACCCCCACCCCCACCCGTTTCTCAGCCCAGCACCTGTGTCTGGTCAGAGATATACCAAATGGCATCTGTGACCAAGAAGCAGGACTTGAATTCAGACCTTGGTGGCTTTCAGGGATCACTGGCCATGGAACCATGTTTTAATAGAGCAGTGGTTCTCAACCTTCCTAATGCTGTGACCCTTCAATACAGTTCCTTGTGTTGTGGTGACCCCCAACCATAAAGTTATTTTGTTGCTACTTCATAGCTGTATGTCCACTACTGTTACGAATCATAATGTAAATATCTGTGTTTTCCAACGGTCTTGGGTGACCCCTGTGAAAGGGGCCATTTGATTCCCCCAGAGGGGTCACGACCCACAGGTTGAGAACTACTGCATTAGGCAGTCCCAGTTCAGAGTTGGTATTCTGATTATCATTCCTGGTTCAGCCTCTGCAGAAGAACAGAATGAGGCACGCTCACAGTGTCTGGAGCTTCCTGGTGAACTTAGTTTGTGAGAAAGTGTAGATACAGGTCAGATCGAGGCGTGGGGGGTAGGCAGGACACCCTCGATATCTCTGCGAAGGCTGTATTTCAGGGGCTCCATGCTTTGCCCAAAAGCCTAATGAGAAAGAAAAAAAGTCACGAGCTCCCTTAATCATTTTTAGAAAAAATGTGGAGAAGTAAATACTGGGTTTTGTTTTTAAATTTGGAGGGGAAGTTGTTTTTGAGCCAAATCACTCCTGCTCATCACAGCCAAAGGGAAAGCAGATCTTAAGATCTCCCACGGGGCCCAGTGCCAAAACCTGGCAGGAACACCAGCTGTGCAGAGTCAGGGCGCAGGGCAAGGGAACAAAGGCCTGTTGGGAGCGCCTGTGCCAAACCTGCGCCCCTGGGGGCTTCTAGCTCCGACCTTCATCTCCAGCACCTTGAGGGCTGACTTGGCTTTTTCAAAAGGTTTTTCTCTCTCAGGTGATTTCCTCTTCTATCCCTGGTGACATGGCTCAAAATAGACGCCTCTTGTTGAAAGCAGACAGAAGTCTGAGCCAGGACTGGGGTGTTGATCAGCTGTGGAATGCTTGCCTGGTGTGTGCAAGGCCTCGGGTTCTGTCCCCAGGACAGCAATAAGTATATAAGTAAATAAAGGGAGAAGTGGATTATTAATTAAACAGCAGAGCCAACGGACTGGGCGGAAATTGAATCACTTCTTTCACTGGCTCTTCAAAGCAGGGTAAATAGTGTCCACCTGGGACTTACTCTCTTTACTCCTAATTGAGATAAACAACTTATTTTTGGTTTTGGCTTGCTCCAAGAGACAGAGTTGTTGCAAAGGCAAAATGTGGTCAAAGGATGTGGGGAGGTAACCGGGTGGGCGGGAAATTAATAGAGGCCAGGGCGATAGAAATCAGGGCGCTTTATGAGCCTGGCTTGGTGGAGCACGGCTTTCGTCCCAGCACTTGGGAGGCAGAGGCAAGAGGATCTCTGTAAGTTCAAGGCCAGCTTGGTCTATATAGAGAGAACCAGGGCTATGCAGAGAGACCCTGCCTGAAAAAGAAGAAAGAAACCACTGTGTTCATGTATGAAATGGTCAGACTTAATTTAAAAAATGAAAGAAAGAAACCAGTGGTGAGATTAGCTCATTTACTAATTATTTATTTTAAGCAGGAAATTATCTATTAAAGAAACACGTTTACAAATTTATCTTTAACTGCTCAGGTGAGGTGAAAGTGGCATATCAGTTAATTAGTAACTTTCCCCACAATTCTTACTCTTTTAGACAAAATCAGTACGTTCATTTAACTGGGTCTGCAAGCCATTCACGGAGCGCATGAGCCCTGTCTACCATCTGCTGTGCTGGTCACAGATCTGGGTACAGGGATCAGAGGAGAGAGCGAAGCTTCCTGTACAACCCCAAGTTCAGGAATGAGGTGCTGCGAGCATGTGGGTGTTTAATCATTCACTTGGCTCTCAGTTTCACCCACAATAACCACATATGGGGTTTGTAATGAAAAAAGGAATCTCAGAGACGTTTTGGAAGGCAGCCCCGATGCTGCATCCAGGTGTCTTGCTCAGTTTTTGTTCGTTGTTGTTGTTGTTTCTGGAAAATCTCCAACCAAAAAAAAAAAAAAAAAAAAAAAAAAAGAGGGTGTTGGCGTTAGGTTTGGTTTTGACTCCTTGGTTCCTAGTTCTCAGTCCGGGGCTCTGGGAGTTTTAGGTCTGTGGCAAGACAGAAACATGGAAGGCCATGGCAGAAAAAAAGGCACTTACTCAAAGGTAGCCCAAGAGCTGAGAGAAGACACAGGGCAGGGTCAAGGTACACCCTCCCAGAACCTTCCACCCTGCTCCCCAACATCCCCAGTAATCCCATCAACTGTTTCCATTGTGGTTAGACCCACCGAGGGGTCACCCCCCATGATCCCTCTTTCCCCAGAGTCCCCCCTCTGAACACTTCTGCACTGGCAGCTGTCCCTTTTAGGACAACAAATATACAAACACCTGCCGAGGCTGAAGCCAGGACCCAGGGTGGGCAGCCTCTCATCTCCATTTCTTCTGAGGCTCCAGATGCCTCCAGAGCCCTGGTGGAAGAGAGGTTTCTTTGTAGTGTTCCTTTCTTTTGCTGAGATAGGGGTCTCACACTGCAGCCCAGGCTGGTCTGGAACTCACTGTGGAGGCCACGTGAGCCTCGAACTTGTGGCGATGCCCTTGGCTTCTCTTCCTGGAGCTGAGACTGCAGGTGTGAGTCCGCACACCCAGCTGGAGGGGATCTTCAGAGGCAGCCACACCCACCACAAATCCCTGGCCACCTCACTGTTATTCAAGCAGTTAGGATGGCTCTCGGAGAGACTCCACGTGCTAACCAGTCTCTCATACTGTTGTGTGAGAGCCTGCATGTGTTTATTTGCTGATTCGCCACAGCCAAGGCATAGAGCAAGACACGCATCTAGGCCAGAGAAGGCACGTGTGACCCCCAAGTCGGTGGAGTTCAGTTGGCTTCACTGAAGCTCTGTGAGTGGTCATTTTGCTCCTTTTGTGCACCCCAGGGGCCACAAACCAAAGCCCCCAGGACTGCAGGAAGCCACCAGTGTGGCTGGACGGTGCTGGCATCAGACAACTTGGCTTCCAATCTTCTAGGCCAGTGACCTCGTACACTCTTTAACTTCCTCGACTTTCAAGGTTTGTTTTGTCTCCTTTGCAAAGAGTAAACAGTGTCTACTTGCAAGGTTTATTGGGAAAGATAAACATGAAGAGTATTAAGAATCTGGTACTGGCACCGAAGGGAGAGCTCAGCAGTAGGAGAATTGTCCTGCCTGCTCAGGACCCTGGGTTCCCTTCCTCACTACTGCAAACCAAACCAAACCGACAGCTCCAGGAGCTGGCGGGAAGGCTCAGTGGGTAAGAGTTTGCTGTGTCAGCATGAGGCCCTGAGTTCAGATCCTGCACCTATGTGAAAAACTGGGCACTGCTTCACAGGAGCCTGAAACCCAGCACTGTGGAGCGCTGAGACAGGAGGATTGTTACAGCATGTTGGCTACCAGCCTAGCTCCAGCCTCAGGGAAAGACCCTGTCTCAAATGAATAAGATGGAACATGGTAGAACAAGGACATGGGATAGCCTCCTCTAACATCCACACCTGCCTCCACATAACACACACACACACACACACACACACACACACACACACACGCACATGCTCACACGCATATACAAAAACAACCCAGCATATAGGATACGGCATGTAGTCACTGCACTGTATTTTCCTTCAGTAGCCCCAAGCCACGTTCTCTCTCCACTTGCCCCTTCCTGTGGGAGGGGAGGAACGGGGCTGCGAGCTCAGGGGCAGCTGAGCTGGGGGAGGAAAGAGAAAGGAGTGAAACAAACTGCCTGCCTGATGCAGATTCGTGATCTGGATGAGAGAGCAGACTGACTCTGCTTGAGAGCATGCAGGCTGGAGCAGCAGTAGGTGGACTGCGTGTGTGCGTGTGTGCGTGCGTGCGTGCGTGTGTGTGTGTGTGTGTGTGTGTGTGTGTGTGTGTGTGGTGGTCAGAGAAGCAGGGGCGGGGGTCAGCAGCAGGAGGACTTTAACCTAAACCTCTTCCCATTTGTCCTTCACCTTACGTCTGGACACCCAAACCTGCCTGATCCACAACAAAAGAAGAGGCTGCTCTAACTAAGAGCCTGGGGATGGCTTCTTAGGTCCTTGGGATTCAAGAGGGATCCAGGGCTCCACTGTGCATGACAAGCAGAACTGCAAACTCTAGACCCAGCAACAGAATAGAATAAAAATGTGAGAATGCACTGACTTTAACCACCTAGAGACTCTTTGTGCGTCTATTTTAAAATATTTCTTTTCATATTTGTGTTTGATGTGTGTGTGTGTGCCTGCGCACGCACGTGTGCTCGGTGGCCCTCGTGTGGAGGTCAGAGGACAGCTTGTAGGAGTCATTTCTCTCCGTCCACCATGAGGGTCCCAGAGCCCAGCCTCAGGATGTCAGGCTTGATGACAAGGGCTTTTAGCTATGAAGTCCTCTTCCCTGCCAGCTGGGTGCAGCAAATCCGTACTGAGCGCGTGGTAGAGTCCCGCAGCCCCAATGGGATGGAACAGGTATGGCTGTGTGTCCTGGCATCAGATGTGACCTCCATTGTCACCCTCTGGGGTTCTGTGTACTAGGTGATGACACTTGGGAGCTGTCTTGGGGTTTCTAATGTTGCAACAAAACACCATGACCAAAAAGCAAGTTGGGGAGGGAAAGGTTTCTTTGGTGTCTGCTTCCACATCACAGTTCATCATCAGAGGAAGTCAGACAGGAACCTGGAGGCAGGAGCTGATGCCGAGGCCATGGAGGGGTGTTGCTTACTGGCTTGTTCATCATGGCTCGCTCAGCCATGGCTTATACAACCCAGGACCACCAGCTCAGGGATGGCACCACCCACAAGGGGCTGGGCCCTCCCCCATCAATCACTAATTGAGAAAATGACCCATAGACTTGCCTAGAGCCCAATCTTACGGAGCCAATCCCCTACCACCACCCCGAGAGAGGGGTTCTCTGTAGCCTTGGCTGTCCTGGAATTCACTCTGTAGACCAGGCTGGCCTCTGCCTGCTTCTGCCTCCCAAGTGCTGGGATTAAAGATGTGGGCCACCACCACCTGGCAGTGGAGGTTATTTTCTTAATTGAGGTTCTCTCCTCTCAAATGACTTTAGTTTGTGTCAAGTTGACATAAATCTACCCAGCCCAGGGGCACAGAGAAAACCACCTCCCAGAAGAGGCACGTGGGACTGAAGCAGGAAGAGCTGAGCTATTGCGCTCTCCTGCGGGGTCTCAACCCACCACACAGGGGGAGCCCTGAAGCTAGCTGGCCTTCAAGATGCGTGGGACATGCCTGTGCACCCTGCTCTGGTTTGTCCATGCCTGAGCTGCTCTGGCAAGCACATGCACCTTTGTGGGGGGGGGGGGCTTCTCACTGAACACTGTCTCCTGCTTCCTCATAAGGGCACCGGGTGGCCCTGTCCTGGACTTCATAGTGGCTCTGACATCTGACTCCTTCTCTCCGTGGGAGATTGGTCAAGAGCCCCGGCTTCTTTGAATCAGTTTGCCTACCTGACAGACAGGGTTGTGACACGTCTTGGCATCATCGATGGGGCCCAAGGACAGAGTCCTCTATGTCTGGTGTAACAGTTACAGGCAGTTACCATCCAGTGTGAGGAAGGGTCACCTATGAGGTTCAGGGGTCTTCAGGAGAGGCCCCCCTATCCCACTAGGCAGAGGGGGGAGGGACATTCCAGGCAATGGAAGTCACGTGTGCAGAAGTCCAATGGTGTGGCTGGACGAGGTGTCCAGGGACCAGCAGGGAGAAGACAGGACCTTCAGGATCCTGCATGACCTTGGCAATGGGAGGTGATTTTGGCTAGGTCTGTATGTTCTCCTACCCATCCCCAGCCTTGAAGTCTTGGAGTCAGATGACAGAAAAGTGTCGTTCCAAAACCTTGGCCTTAGAGGCCAGAGAGTGGTGGAACAATAGTCCCGGACCTAGAGGCCCTCTGAGGCCCTGGGCCAAGGGCTCACCTCAGGCACTTGTTAGGCTGTCCTGTGTGAGTGGGAGCTTTGAGTAAACTGTCCCCCCAAAGAGAAACCCCATTTCTACCTGGTCTCAGCTCCAGGAAGTGAATTGAGCCCTGTGAGGGAAGTCAGGAGAGGGGCAGCTGTGTGTGGTTTTGACTGTACTGCACCTCTCTGGGCTCCGTACCTTGTCTGGTAAGTGGAGCACACTGCAGCCTGGCTGCTTTGCCAGCCTCCTCTGAAGTCACATGTTGCTTATCTACTGTCCCTTTTAGGTGGCCACTTCCTGTTCTGCCTGTCTTCTTAAGATGTGCCCAAGGCCACAGTGACAATCAGCCAGCGAGTGGCCTGCTTTCAACTGGGCCCCTGGGAGGAAGGAGAACAATGGTCCTCAGGTCCTGGCAGCCTGTGCCCGCCAAGGGGCGGTGTCCGTATTGTTTTTCTGGGCTGTTGTTTCCCCCAACTGCATGCACTACATCCTCAGGCCATGCCCCATCCTGACCGAGGTCCCCAGGCAGGAAGACTGCCTGAACCTGCTGCCTCTCCTCCAGCTCCCAACCCCCACCCTCCACCTCATCCACGTCTGTTGCTCAGCTCAGCTGTTCTCACGAACCCCGAACCCCAGTGGCTCTGGCCAAGCTGAAGGAGGCTGCATCCCATCAGCCTCCCAGCCCAGGGTTGCTGTGAAGCCATCTTACCCCGGGTGGCATTGTGTGACCCACCTCCGAACCTGCCTCTCTCACTGTCCATGGTGTTATTCCTCAGCCTGTCTCAGGGTGGGGTCTTCCTGTGTAGCTGTGGGGGAGGGAGGAAGAAAACCAATAACTTGACGCTTCCTCTGTTTTGTGATTTATTTTTCTTTTGATATATGGTCCTATATAGTCCAGGCTGGCCTTAAACTCCCTATGTAGCTAAGGATGACCTTGAACTCCTGACTCTCCTGCCTCGAGCTGGGATGCTGGTAGCGCACCACCAAGCTCCGCTCACTATGACTTTGTTTAAAGGAAGCTTGGTGACCCAGCAAGGGCCATGTCTGCTCTTGGCTCTTGTTCGGTGTCAAAACCAATATGGCAGTGCTGGAGAGGTGGCTCAGTGGTTAAGAGCACTGGCTGCTCTTCCAGAGGCCCTGAGTTCAATTCCCAGCAACCACATGGTGGCTCACAACCATCTGTAATGAGACCTGGTGCCCTCTTCTGGCGGGCAGGGGTACATGCAGGCAGAACACTGTATACATAACAAATAAATCTTTAAAAAACAACAACAACAATATGAAACACACATCTGTGTGTCAGAAGCAGAAGAAATCTGGCACAGGTTGCTAACTGAGGTGCTTGTTGGCATACCCAAGTGCACACTGGCCCCGGGCTCACTCAGCCTGTGGCTGCTCTTAGCTCTTCTCACCCCGCCCCTTCTCTAGATGTGTCCAGAGCAGGGGCTTCCCTCCGTTTCCCCAGCTTCGGATTCCCAGATAACCCTGCCACACACTCTGGGTTCCCTCTCTCCCTTTGCCTTCTCCTCTCATGGCTGCCTGGTTCAGCCAGCTGGCCATGGTCACTCTGCTTTCTCTCTCTGCTCTGGACGGTTCCAGATGCCTCTGGCTATGGCTGTCTCTCATATCTACAATAAAAACCATGTCCTCAAAAGTACCTTGGAGCGAGCTGGCTGTGGTGGTGGCGCACACCTTTAATCCCAGCACTCGAGAGGCAGAGCCAGGCGGATCTCTGTGAGTTCAAGGCCAGCCTGGTCTATAGAGTGAGTTCCAGGACAGGCACTAAAACAACACAGAGAAACTCTGTCTCGAAAAAACAAAAACAAACAAAAATTACCTTGGAGCGATCATGTCCCCATTTCATTTCCCGTGGAGAGCAGATGGGTCCTGGAATCATCTCCTGCTAGCTTCCAGCAAGGCCCTCTCTGTTACTGCTCACACCACTGGAGAAGTCATTCTGAATGATTGTGTTGCCATCAGGGGACCCTGGCCAGGGATGTACAGTCACCGTGGATGTAGACAGTGGGACCCTTGCTTATACCTCAAGTGTTCGGTAATAGACTAGGTATGCCCAAATGGATTAAAGTTCCCCGAAGGAGGTTTTGTAGACTGATTATCACTTCCTGACTGTAGGGAGTGGGAATGTTGCAGATCCAAAACCAACGTTCTCTTGGGCTATACAACTTTAGCACTCACCTCTGCACCTGACCCAATATCCTTTTGACTATCAGGTAAACCTTTGGAATGCACCATTAAGTTGATACCACTAGCTTCTACCATCCTGAAAACTAAGAATGTCATCAGACGATATCCGAAGCCTATAGCCGAGACCCCCACGGCCACCCCCACAGACGCTTCTATGTGAATAAACTCTCTTACTCCTTCTGAAGTGGGAATTGTGTTTTGCTTTCTTTGCCTACACAGTGAGAATTTGGAAGATTTGTCCTGTGCACTGTCTGGACGGAGGGTCGTAGGCTCAGGGGAGGGCAGTCTGGCAGGCCCCGTGGGCCCCCGCATCGGAAGAGGCACGCCTGTGGGCATGTAAACACAAGAGGGCAGCTTGGCATGCTCTAACAGAGCCCCAAGGGGAGGGACCCTCATTAGCCCACTGCCAAGACGGCATCTGTTGCTGTCATTCTTGGGACGAAGGGAACACCTGCTCTTCATGTGGCTGGAGGCGGAAGCCTCTGTGTAACAGGAATCTGATGCCACCCCAGCACCTTGTTCCTGATCATCTCTTAAAGGCGCCACCAGAATCTGAGAGGTGACACATTCACCATACAGCAATGATATAATCGCAAGTATAGATCTGCTCCCTGCTCTCAATGCCTGTCTCGGCCTTCTAAAGCTCTGGGTATTTCCTGAACCCTAGAGTCAAGCACATCATTAGTTCTCATAATTGACCTTTGACCCTGTTTCCTGATACTGGCACCTGAGACCTCTGTGACTTCCAGGGTGAGTTGAGTGTCTGACACAGTGTTCTGCATCCCTGAGTACTTCTCGGGTGCCTGGAGCACGTGACATTCTGGTGAGGTGATTCTGGGTCGGCTCCTGGATCGGGGAGCCAATCCTGAAACGGACAAATCACGATTAGAAACTTGGACCGGTCAGTGCCAACCCATGTTCTCTGGGAAAGGGACTGAAGATTGAGTTCATCATTGAACAGGCCACCTAGAAAAATCCCTGAACCTCGGAACTTGGGGAACCCAGCCGTGTGTTGAGAGGGTGGTGTCCCCCAACTCCATGGGGACAGGAGCTCCTGCGCTGAGGCTTCCAATCTTATCCTGTGCATCTAGCTGATGACTCACAACTCGTCACACCACTTATTAAGATAATAGTCCACACACCAGAGTGTCTTCCTGAGTCCGTGAACAAGTTCCTCAAACTCACGGGGTCACGGGGACCCTGATTTATAACCACTCAGTCAGCGGTATGACGGATACCCCACTTACCACTTACAGTGGGGTCTGAGGTTGGGGGCCTGGCTCGTGAGACTCACACCTCAGCCTGAGGGAGCCAGTTCCAGATCAGTAATACCAGAATGGAACCGAGTCACAGAACCTCACCTGTTGGTGTCACGGAGAGAACGTTCGCACACATCTCTCGTCAGAAGTGTGAAGGGCCAGGAGAGAGAGGGGGACTCGTATTTTTCCCTCTATCTCTTCAACAAAGACTGAGCAGTGTAGACAGCCTTGAGAGGAGGGACTAGCAGGCCAGATGTGGAGTCCTCTGCCACCACAGGAGCATTCTCAGGGCTCCTCTGAGAATGTCTGGGAACCTATGTGAGCATCTGCTTGGGACCCCTTGCAGAACCCCCGTGGCACTGTATCTTGAGAGGTAGGTACCACAAGTCCACCCAGCCGCAGGTTGGGACGATCCCACCGTAGCCTAGGTGACCGTGGGGTCACACCTTGCTTCCTCGTTCGAGGCATGTCGAAGACACGTGACGAGAGCCGACGGCACAGACACTGTAGACAAAGCGAGGGAGGTGAGTCCAGCCTCCAGTGCAGGGAGGTCTGACAGAGGATCGGAGAGCCACGGGGAGGTGCCCAGGCAAGGAAGACCTACCCCACGCTGTCAGAGAAGAAAACTTGCGGGAGGGCAGAGGGCAGCGGGCAGCCATGCTGAGACTGAGAAGCCAGAGTGCATGAGGCACAAGGCGGGTGGGAACTGGAGTTCCACGCAGAAGCCAGTTAGCAGGCAGGGGGAAAGAACAGTCGATGGGGTCTGGAGAGGAGGAGGGGTGGCCATGGGTTCCAGCTGGTCTGAGAAGGCCCACCTAGTCCCATGGGTACCGGACAGCCGGGATCAGAACTGGGGATGGGTAAAGAACCCTGGGGTGACCGAGAGGGAGGGGGTATGGAGAACGGCCGGCCTGTGTCCTGGGTAGTTGGGAAGGCGGGGGCAGGGCTGTAGGAGGGAGAGCCGGGGCGGGGGAAATTCTCTGAGCTGAGGCCCACACCCGATGTTTATTTGTTTAATGTGCACAATGCCTCTAGGCTGGGCCAGAAGCACAAGGGGGGGAGGCCCCGGGGTTTCTGGGGCAGCTGCAATGTTTTCGGCTTCTGTCATCTTTACCTTGGAGCTTGGATGGTCGCATGACCGGCCCGGACCCTGACCTTAGCCTCCCCAAGGGAGGCAGAGGCGAACTGTACACACTCTCCCTACCGGTGTCTCTTGGCCCTAGACTCTGCTTGAAGGCTCCGTCCAAGTCCTCCCGAGGGGACACCTAGTGCCTGGGGTGGGGAGGGCTTTGTGGGTTGGGAAATGTGTGCCCTTCAGAATAATCCAGGGTCCTTTGAGTGCTTGGTGTCTTCATCCTCACGACAGCTCAAGGACACAGATAGGACTCTCTTCAGTATTTATTTATTTATTTATTTATTTAGTTAGTTAGTTAGTTAGTTAGTTAGTTAGTTTTTTGAGACAGGGCTGCTCTGTGTAGCTTTATACCTTTCTTGGATCTCACTCTGTAGACCAGGCTGGCCTCGAACTCACAGAGATCGCCTGGCTCTGCCTCACGAGTGCTGGGATTAATGGCGTGTGCCAACACCACCCAGCCTTCTCTTCAGTATTTAAATGGGGGACTGAGTGGGCAGAGGTACATAAGGAGAAGAGCTCAGGTAGCTCCCACCCTGCTTTCTGGGCCTCCTAGGTGGAGCCTAAAAGGCTTTCCCTGCTCTAGGCCTCAGGCACCGGCTTCCTCAACCTCATGGCTGCACCTCGGCTGTCTGCCGTTCCACAGAGTTGTCCAAAACGACTTAACACTGGCGTTCCCAAACAGCGCCGTGCTTCCCATTTGAGGGACCGTGGGTCCACCACGCTGGTTTCTCCAAAGTTTGTTGGAAAAGCTATTATGTAGCGGGATGTGGTGGTGCATGCTTACAATCCCAGCCCTTGGGAGACAGAGACTAAAGGATATGGTCTCAAGACTATCCTCAGCCACAAAGTAAGTTCAAGGCCAGCCTGAGCTAGGTAAGACCTTCTCTCAAAAATCAAACAAAGAAGAAAGAAATGAGGCGAAGAAGGAGAGGAGGGAGGAAAAAGCAACTGTTTTGTTGTTTTCAGGGATCAGGGTCTACATCCCCAGCAGGTTTCTAGAGGCCCCCATGCCCTGGGGAAGTGTGTGCTGTACGGACAGCCAAACCCTTTCTCTCTGGTTATCAGTGTGTGATGCATCTCCAATGTCAGGACAATCCCCCAGGAACATGCCCACAGGCCAACTCAAGCGAGATGGTCCCTCACTGAGACTCTCTTCTCAGGAGTAGGTTGTGCCAATTTGACAGCTAAACCAACTGCCACAACCAGCCATGCAAGGAAAAGGAGAGCACACATCTACCGAAATAAGAACTCCAGTGGTCAGGATCCGAGTGCTCCCCACAGGGGTCACAAATATCTCTGGCCAGTCCGGAACCCAGAGGGAAACTGGGTGGTGCTCTCAGACACTCCTGTGGTGATGTCGTAACCTGGATTTAATATACTGAAATGGCTTGCGGTGTAGCTAGGTGGGAGAGCGCTTACCCAGCAGGTGCATTCAAACCCCAACACTTTAAAAATATATACACCTTGAGTTGTAGCTGGAGTTTTTCTGGTCCTGCCTGGCTCACGGTCAGGACAAATCTCTCTCACCCGTCAGTCCCGCAGCCACTCAGACCCAACCAAGTAAACACACAGAGACTTATATTGCTTACAAACTGTATGGCCACAGCAGGCTTCTTGTTATCTAGTTCTTATATCTTAAATTAACCCATATCTATCAGTCTATAAGTTGCCACGTGGCTTTTGGCTTACCAGTATCTTAACATCTGCTTCTCATCATGGCGGCTGGCAGCATCTCTCTGCCTCAGCCTTCTACTTCCCAGACTGAGTTGTTTTGTTTTATGAATGATAAAGGTTTCTGAACATTTGGTCACAGAAGATTTCAAAAGAAAAAAGTGGGGACACTAAAGAGTATTGGTGGGGGCCTGCTAACGGTGGGAGCAGGTGAAGAAGGCATTCGCTGCCAAGCCTGACATCGTGCGTTCAGTTCCTGGAAGGTACACGGTAGAAGGAGAGACCCAATTCCCAGAGTTGTCCTCGGACCTCTCCTCTCACCTCATGGCCTTCAAGCACATAGGCATGCGTGTGCCCTTACAAACATATGCACAATAAACACATGCTTTTTTCAAGGGGGGGCCTAAGATGATGTCAAGGCTAGCTTTGAACTCCACATCTTCCAGCTTCAGCCTTTGGGTGCACCACCAAGCCCAGTTTATTTATTTCTGCTCTAATCTCAATAACTCTCTTCTTTCTGCTTCTTTAGATTTAGTTTGCTCTTTTTCGGCCTTTTCTCACATCTTAAGCTAGAACATTAGGTACTGACTGTGCTGGCTGGTTTTATGTCAACTTGACACAAGCCAGTCATGGAAACGGGGGAGCCTCACTTGAGAAAATGCCTCCGTAAGATCCAGCTGTAGGGCATTTTCTTAATTAGTGATTGATAGGGAAGGGCCCAGTGCATTGTGGTGGTGTCGTCCCTGGGCTGGTGGTCCTGGGCTCTGTGAGAAATCAGGCTGAACAAGCCCTGAGCTAGTAAGAGGCCCTGTTCCCCGGCCTCTGTACCAGTTCCTGCTTCCAGGTCCCCGCCCTGCTTAGGAGGTCCCAATCCTGACTTCCTCCAGTGATGGACTATGATTGAAGTGTAAGCAAAGACCCCTTTCCTCCACAACTTGCTTTTGGTTGTCGTATTTCATCATAGCAATGATAACCCTAACTAGAACACTGACTTTGGAGTAGAGATACAGATATAGATATATAGATACTGAGACACTATCTCATTGTGTAGCCCTGCTTGCCTCAGATTCACAAAGGTCCACCAGTCTCTGCTTTCTGAGTGCTAGGATTAAAGATCTGTGCCACCACACCCAGCTAATAATTTTAATGTTGTGTGTGTGTGTGTGTGTGTTGTGTGTGCACATGCACACATGTATGTGTCACAGTTTATGTGTGGAAGTCAAAGACAACTTCTTTCCTTCAACCTTGTGGGCTCCTGGGTCCAAATTGAGGTCATCAGGTTTATGGCCTTGAACTCACAGAGATCCACCTGCCTCTGCCTCCCAAGTGTGGGTATTAAAGGCGTGCGCCACCACTGCCCAGCTAGGTATTTTCTAATCCTCCTCATGATTTATTCTTTGATGGGCTGCTATTTAGGAGTGGGTGTTTGGGGTTCTGAATGTTCATCCTTTCCCCATATGTATTTCTGACTCTGCCTTCCCGTTCCCCCAGGCTGCCCCTGTTCCTTGACTCATAGACCTCCACGTTTTTCAAACCTGGGACTCTCGTCAGTCCTGTGTCCCGGCCAGCATCGCGTCTGCTCCTATTCTTCTGTCTCCCTCTTTCCTTTGTAAGAACCCTCAATACACTGAGTCATTTGAATGAAGCAGAATCCTCTCCATCTTGGGCTCTTCAGCTTAAGTGTCTCTGGTAAGTCTGTTTTACCACAGATGTGAACACACTCACAGGCGCAGGAATTAGGATGCTGTATCAGTTGCTTCTCTGTTACTATGATAAAATGCCATGACCAAGAGCACCTTACAGAAGGACAAGGGTCTATTTTGGCTTATAGTTCCAGAAGGGGAGTTCAGGAGAAGCATGGCTCAGTGGTTAAGAGCATTGGGTGCTCTTCCAGAGGACCTGGGCTCGATTCCCAGCTCCCACATGGTGGCTGACAACCAAGGGCATGGCATGCTTGTGGTTATACACATGCATGCAGACAAACACTCATACACATAAAATAAAAATAAATCCCCCCAAAAAAACCCTAAACAAACAAACAAACAAAAGAAACAACAATATTCTTAAAAATTAAAGGCCAGGTGGTAGTAGCTCACGCCTTTAATCCCAGCACTCAGGAGGCAGAGCCAGGCAGATCTCTGTGAGTTTGAGGCCAGTCTGGTCTACAGAGCGAGATCCAGGACAGGCACCAAAACTACACAGAGAAACCCTGTCTCGGAAAAAAAAAAATTAAGACAATGCCAACACTTGTTACCAAGTGTTATGGAATCAGTTGCACCTTCATACTTCCTGAAGATGCTCACAGGAGAAGCACAAGAATGGATGGATGGATGGATGGATGGATGGATGGATGGATGGATGGATGGATGAATTAGAGCTGGGAAACAGGAGGTGTGCTGTGATTAACCATGTATTATTAAAGCTCTGTATATTTTTCAATGTTGTATTGTAGTAACACTTTGCATGTTTCCCCCCTTGGGGTAGCGATAGGAAGACAGAGGTTGTAGGGAATTACCAGCGGGCGTTGACTTACAGATGCCATGCTTTCGAAAGGGCACCCCCACACAAGGATTTCTTCCCTCCAGACATCCTGCCCTAGCCCCCTTCCTTCTCCCAGAGACAAAAAGCTTTCACCGCAAACTCCCAGCGGCAGCCAAAGAAAACAGAGCCAGGAAGAAGCAGGGTTCTGAACCCTGACTGATAACATTCTTCAAATCAAAGCCGCAGAGCCTGCCACAATGGTGGAGGACTTCAGGGGACACCCAGGGGACACCCAGAGCAGGTTGGCTGGAGGTCAGAAGGTCCCTGGCTTCCATCGGTCCAAGTCCCAGAGCTCCAACCTGGATATGAAATGGGAAAACAAATGCTTTCCTCTACACAGGTAAAGACACTCCTCCCCCACCCCCACCCCCGCAAAATCCTGGGCCATTTATTTAACAAATGTAACCTGAAAATTTATACCGCCCTAGGAGGGCAGTCAGATCGCAGGAAGTTATGCACCTTGCTCCCTCACCGGCTGGCTCATTGCTAGCTCCCTTCCTCAAGGCCACACATTCGGGGCAGTCTGATCACGACTTTGAGCCCTCCTTCCCTCAGATGGAGAAATGCAAGTATGCCACCCCTGCAGGGCACCTGTCCTTTTTTCCCCTGCTGGCTCCAAGTTGAGACTTGGAGCTCTTAGTGTCTGGGCCGCCGTGGGAGCAGATGTTGTGTCTGTTGTGGCTGTTCCTGTGATGCTCTTGCCACCCTCTGGGGTAGAGCATCACAGACTGCAGACTGTCCCTAATGTGTCAGGAGCATCGGCGTGTTGTTCTGTAGCCTCGCTTCTCCTCGGCTTTTGAAAACACGTATCCTCTGAGGGCCTCGTGAGCCTGACTCTTCGCTGAGCGGAATCCGGTGAAACTGCTCCTTAGGACGACTCATTGGCCAGGAAGGAAAGGAGCATTTCCTTCACTTCCCCTTGGAACTTCCACAGCACTTCCTCCCCACCCTTTCCTCCAAATCCCGGGCCACAGCGCCCCCTGGTGGAAGCATGCGGCAGCGGCCTGGGAGAATGCAGCCGCAGCCTCCCACTCCCAAGGGCCCAGGGAAGTCAGGTAAAGTCGGGGAGCAGAGCTGCTCCCGGGACCTGGGGGCTATTGGGGGTGAGGGTGGGGCAGACAGCATAGAGACAGGCCTCCCGATAACCAGATATTGTGAGTTTTCAAGACAAGCTAGAAACCCCCAATTAAACCAACTGTGTGGGGCTGAAAGGATGGCTCCGTGGGCTGAAAGGAGCATTCCTCGCTTTTCCAGAGGATTCGGGTCCAATCCCGGCACCCACATCAGGTGACTTGTAACACCCTGTAACTTCAGCACCAGGGGGATCCAAGGCCTCGGTAGGTACCTGTATTCACATGCCATCACCCACATGTACATATAATTTTTAAAAAATCTTTAAAAAAAAGAAAACATAATTTCTACTCAGGGCCTATAATCCCAGTACTCTGGAGGCCAAGGCAGGAGGATTGATGTGAGTTTGAGATCATCCTGAACTATATAGGAGACCTCATTCCCAAAGAGAAGCCAAAAAATAAAAATTTCTGTTAAGCTAATAATTGTTTTTTCTATTTGAGGCAAAATCAATTTCCCTAAAGGTATATATTCATTATTTTCCAGAATACCAATATTTGAACATTCTAGGAATTTTATTCCCCTAGACAACATGTAAAACCTGCACAGTGGGCCCTGGTCCCACCTGACAGACCCTCCTCTTCCCTACACTTCCCTGGTCATAACTCTTTTCCTCAAGAAAACAAAACAAAACAAAACAAAACAAAAAGCCACTTTAGATGTTTCCAGAAAGTTGTTATGTTTTGCTGCCTCTGCTTTCTATTTTTGAAACTTCTATATTACCTTCAAAACCCCAGGTACGTGCTTGCTCCCAGGGGTCTTTCAGGTAGCCTAAAAGCTACTCAACCTTGCGCATAAACCCTAATCCCAGTCTCTAGAAAAACAGCTGTTATATCACACACATTCGTTACTTGTTACACATCCTTGTTTAAAAGTTTATTTAAGGTGCGGAAGTGTTTTGCTGGCACATATGTGTGTACGTGCATGTGTTCCTGTGCCCACAGAGGCCATTAGATGGAGTCTGATCCCCTGGAACTGGAGTCACTGATGGTTGTGAGCCACCATGTGGGTGCTGGGAATCGAACCCGTGTCCTCCTGGGAGAGCAGCCAGCACTGCTAACCACTGTATGGTCTCTCTACCTCGTTTATACATCTTTTGATGTATCTCCTGAGTTATCGGCTCTAGAACTTCAAAGATACCTGCTAGGTGGAGTCAGGTAAGATTATCTACTGCTGTTTTGCTCACCCGGAACCCCAGTGACAGTCTGACTTGAGGTAGGGTGGCTCATCTTGAGACATGTTTAAAAATAATTTTTGTTTCTGAGCATTTGGACCAATGACGACAATGTTTTGATTCAGAGTTCGGGCTGCGGTGGTATGTGACAGTGAAGTTCCCCTCCTTCCTGAGTCTCCAGTCAGTTGCTTTGCTTTCTCTACGAGCAACTAACAGTGTTTACTCATGGTTTCAAATCCGCTGGATAAAGTCCACATTCCACTGCGTGGCGCGGCTCTGTCCTGCACTTGTTTATCTGCTGCGGCCTTTCCCTGGCTCTCCCCAGGCTCTCCAGCAGAGGGACTCACAGGGCAGCGCTCAGGTCTCCTCCTGAACATTAGACAGGCCTCATGTCACTCTATCTGGTACAGTGGGGGCCTGTGGCCTCTCTCTCTCTTCCCCAGGGCGAGCAGCTTGTTGCTCATGTGTGGACTTGCAGTCTGTTAATCTCTGGAGCTGGGAGGATACACGTGGATGTTGAGAAGGCTGAAAGGAAGTATTGAGAACCATATCCAGCCAGATTCTTCCAAGGCCACGTGTGCAATACCATGTGATCTATGCCAGCTCCTTCCAGTAAAATGGCATGAGCCCTGGTTGATAAGATCCTTCCTGACGAAGACAGCGGGTGCCTCCCACATCAGCAGACCCCTCTGAGCCATGTCTACTGACTGACTTGCGACTTGTGACGTCCTCTGACACCGCATGGTGAATGGATAGTAACCAAGCTTTGCAAATAGTTTGGTCTGTGTTTGATGACATCCTCTGAAGAAGGTAGCAGAAGCTTCCTTGCTCAGGCCAGGCAGAAGACCTGCTGGAAGGAGAAAATCGTCTGTACGACCTTGAGAGAACTGTGGAGTTGACGTTAAAAAGAAACATGCCCCACGCTAAGGCAGGTCAAGAGGACAGGCTAACGGCCCCTTAGTGGCATCTTCGCCTCAGGAGCCCCTCCCTCCACAGCTGCCGCTCACCGCCCCCCACTGCTAAGCCTGTCTGCATTCCAAGTTCTAACTCAGAAAGCGGAACCCTCTCTATCTCCTTTTCCTAGCTTCAACCCACATCCTAAACCCGACGCCCGAGCGGCTCCCTTTCTCTGAAGCCCTCCGACCCCACACACCTGTTTTGTGTTCCCAGCCTCGAATTCAGACAGCACGGCTTTCTCTTTTTGACTTTTCCATCTCCTCCTGGTCCTGCTGGTATCGCTCACTTATCTGCTCCCTCTTCTGTTTTGTTCTTTGTTTCTGCCAAACTCTGGTAACATTGTCTTTGATTTTCCTTCTGTCTAAAAATTCTCCCATCAATGAGGCAGAACTGGCAGACAGGACCCTGTGTGCTCTTCCCTGTGTCTGAGGTTAATTTGAATTGTCAACTTGACACAGCCTAGAATTGAAGTGATGGCTTATATTGTTCTATTGTTAAATAAAACTCAGGAGTCAGATATTGGGGTAAAAAACCTGATAGATCCAAAGAGCGATGGAGGAATGATCAGCTGACCCAGCCTCTCCACACTTCCAGATCGAAAAGACCCCGCACCTTCCCAAGTCCCCCCTCCTACTTTCTGTGCCCTCCTAGCTTGGTCCTCCAAAACATCTATGGCTAATTCCAGACAGCCAATCATCGATGCCACCCTCTGATTCAAGGTAAACTTCATTACCAGTCTCAGAGTATCATCAGTGTGAACAAATACCTCGAAACATTTCCTCCATTTTGTCTAAATAAAAAGGAAGGGTTTTAACTTTAACACAGTAAAACCATATACAATAAGAACAATTACATTCACAATATTCAGTTCATTTGTATTTGGCAAATTTGAAGAAAATACTCTATTATCTATCTTGATGAGTCCAAAGTCTTATACCTAACTCACTTTCTATCCTAATTTGTATTACCAATCAAAAACTATCTTTTTAGACCTCAAAACATTTTCTTAGATAAACCATTTAAGCTTTATGTCGCTCAACCTTATACACTTCACACCTCTTTTGTGAGTTTCTTTTCTGAATTTGGTAACAAGGAAAGATGTAACTATGACTATCTTGTCTTTAGCTCCACCAGAGACCCGAGAAGGATATAATATTACCTGAGTAAAGAGGGAATGTAATCATCTTCCAAAACTATAGAAATGACAGAAGCAGCTGGCTGCCTGGACAGTCACTCAAAGTTCCTCTGCAATGTCGTGGCATCCATTTTCAGCTTACAGGCCTAGAATATCTGACAGAATTGTTTTTGTGAGGGAGGAACTTTGAGAGACTGTCCTACCTTGTCTTGGTAAAGTTCAGCAATTGCCTTCTGCATCCTGCTTGTCCAGTTTGGACAGCATACTGCCAGCAGTTGAGGCAAGGGCAGTTTCTTGCCCAGGGGCTAACTTCACCACAATGAAAGCAAACTCCATATGGAGGTTCTTTGATGCCCATCAGCCTTTTTTGAAGTTAATTGGTACTGCCAGGAACAGATGTGTCTTACTGTCATAAAAAGTCTTATGTTATTAAAACATTTTAAATGCCATATTCTATAGGTCTCTGAAGTGTTTGAAGATCACCTATTTATCTAAAATGTATCTCTGTTTGACCTTGAAAACATACCTAACATGGCCTCAACTTTGATTGTTCTAGATGACTATTAACCTGTATTTCTTAATTATCCTAAATAGTTTGTAATAATAATTTTCAAGGACTAGAACTTTACATTACATTGTTAAATGAGCTGCATAGGTACAATACCTTAAACAAAAGTAGATATATATATATATAAACAAAAATAACCTTAAATTTGTATTAATATATGAAAATCCATACCAATATAAAATATTTGAGATTAGCTGTTGCTTTTTTTAGTTAAAAAGTAGATTCAATAATCTACCCTTTTTCCTACCATTCCTATATCCCTCCTTTTTTCTTTTCAGAAAAAGATCGCTGAATCTAATCTCCATTGCTTAGTTTCCTCCCTGATCATGACCAATAACAACTTGCAACCAACCCCCCTAAATGACGATAAACATCCATAATCCGCTGAATGGCCAAAAACCACCCATCCCACCTCTTGGGAATGTGAGTATCATGTTCTTAAAATTACTTCCTGTTGCCTGGGGACAACTGCATTTTTAAGGGGCCCTGAGAAAACTGGGATAACGGTCAAGTCTGGGAGAGCTAGCTGTTGTCCAGTCTCGGTGTGATGGGGGAGTGCAGGGCTAATCTGAAGTCCCGACTGGAATAGTCTGTGAGGCTGGGCCATCTTAGCTAAGTGCTTTGAGGTTGTCCTGAGCAGTTTGTAGTCCAAAGCTAATCTCTGGGTAGTGTTTGTCAACTTAGTGGTATTTCCACAATCCAGGTAAATTAATTGTTGTAGGGCCCCATCATCTTCTTGGAAACCTCCAAGGTTGCTGTTAGGAATGGTCACAGTTCACTGCAGAAAACTTAAACAATTTAAATGTCATATGCAGTATATCTCTGAGAGATTAAAGGACCACAATCTGTTAAATACATCTAGGGTACACAAACTTAGTTCCTAGTTACCTGCTTCAGATTCAAGTCCAAAATCATGAACAGGAAGCTAGATGAAGCCTAATGTTAGAATTAGTATTCTGGGTTTTTTTTTTTTTTTTTTTTTTTTGGTTTTTCAAGATAGGGTTTCTCTGTGTAGCTTTGTGTCTTTCCTGGGACTCACTCTGTAGTGCAGGTTGGCCTCAAACTCACAGAGATCTGCCTG